TGAATCAATCATATCCATTATGTCTTCCAAATCTTCATCAGGAATGATTGAGCCGGGTTGATTCATTGAACCAGACACTCGGCTGGAAGTACCCGGACCGGGTTGATCAATTGGATATTGTTGGTCTTCGTCAGACATGGTTAAATCAATTACATCTACTGTACGTCTCTGACCTCGTCTGGGAATACTTGGACTGGGTTGATCAATTGGGTCTTGTTGGTCTTCGTCAGGCATGGTTAAATCAATTACATCTACTGTACGTTTTTGGCCTTGGTTAAGAGTACTTGGACCAGCTACATTAATTAGTTGTTGCTGACCTTGATTGGAAGTTTCTGAATAAAATTGATCCATTATGTCTTTCCAATACTGGGCGGGAATGCTTGGATTGAGTTCATCAAGTGGATCAGACACTTGACTGGAAGTGTCTGATAATTGAGATGTATCATCTTTATCTGTCGGTATTAGTACTGCATTAGCGGTCGCTGCCGCAGCCAGTATGAATAAAATGTCAGTGAATTTCATTAGATTGTGTCTAAACAATTGATGGAAAAGTAGAGTATTTAAACTGGTGTCGATCATGAAACTGAGCATACTTCATTGTATTTGTATTTTTGTACAGTAAATTAACCCTAACCCTTTTAGGTTAATCAACGACACAGGGCTACTTGATTGCTTGTAGTGAGCCAATATCAAATTAGACAGTGTGCTGCTCCCTATTTATAATGCCATATTGATCAATTTGATGATCATGTCAATTGGATTATGCTTTTACGACCCTTTTATCAGGTATATTCAAAAGCGGGGGCGTAAGGATTTGTTTAACCGCAAACGCTCCTTTTTATAGCTGTATTCGTGTCAAATGGTTCACTCCAGTATTCATCATACAATGACTGTATTCTGCATTGCAATATACAATGGCTACTACACATTGACTGTATTGCGTGTTCGATATACAACAACCATCATATGACACACAATCAGACTATAGTGTTGAATCTACACTTTGTGCACTTTTAGTAATCATGCATTGTACAATCATCAAGTTTGAACCCACACCCATGTATTGTGTTTGATTGTCGATGCTGTCAATACAACTCTGTACACACATTTGTTGTATTCTGAATCACGGATACGATCACAATCTAGTTCAACAACAACGATGACACATGTCAGTAATGCAGCTGTTGTTTGCATGTCAATCGCCACCAACAATACCACTGTATTGTCAACCAGTCCATGACACTGACTGTTTATCACACACCAACACTGTTATTTAGTAGTCCATTTACGTCAATACAGCTGTCAATATACATTTGTACATGTGGTTTTGTGAACCGATTACAAGCCTCAAACAACCAACATTAGTACCACCATAATACAATCTGATCAATGGTGTGTCTGTATGGTAATGGCTGGTGTTGTGATATTCCAATTTGCTTTAAATACAATTAGTCGACTCATTGTCAACTGTACCACATACTTTTTCATACATTATTACAAATGGTTTCATTTATTAGATTGTAAAAACAGCCATTGTATCGATATACTTGATCCAAACATTTAGTTTTGATCACAGCTTTTTCCAACATAGATACAGCAAATATCCATGCGAGTGCATCCAGAAGTAGGTTTGGGACCACGAGTGGTTGTGGTAGTAGGTCCTGTAGTGGTTATGATGGGTCTTGTAGTAGTGGTAGTAGTTGTGGTGGTTGTAGTAGTAGTAGTGGTGGTAGTAGTTGTGGTGGTGGTAGTAGTACTTTTGCTAGAAGGTGGAGGTGAACCACCACCGCATTCAGCTGGAACAGAAAAATCGTCTACGTAATCCACGGCATTAGGTCCTAAACCACGTTTGGCAAACCCTTTCCAGATTTCACACTTGTTGGCACCGTCATAGTGAGCAACATCTGCTGCGACAATGGCATCACGAGCATCAATGAAATTGGTGTTGCATGGCTGGAGCATCATGCCGCCAATCATAATCTGCATTGTGATAATATTGCCAGCCTTGCTCTTGGCATCGTACAGATTGGTAGAAAACCCATTCTTGGCAATCAAGTTCCAGTAAATTTCCCACAGCGCAGCAGCCCACACTTCACCGACAGCATGGACTTCTCCACGTTTTTTGAGATAGCCATAGGTCAAAGGATTGACTTGCATGTCAGTGGTGTAAGGATAGGAACGCATGCCATTATTATTGTTTTTGGAATATCTGCCAAAATAGGTGGGTGTGTCGGCTTTGTGTGATTGCTTGGCCGTCACGATCATGGCAAATATGTCGGACCAACCTTCTCCCATGCCTCTAGTTTCAGGACTGAACATGCACAGTGATGCTGTAGGTCCACCAGTCAACCGAGTTGAAATACCGTGACCATACTCGTGCAAAACAACTTGGTTGTCCAGACCTGGATTGCGGTTGGGTTTGGCAGAAGTAAATCGGAACATTCGCATTCTGCCAGGCTCGCCATCAGGAGGAGCGTGGAAATCAGCATTCTCTCTGCGTGCCGTGTCCAAAACACTGATAACAACAGCATCGCTGCCTTTACCGCCTTTGCCAAAGTTGTCGGTTTGGAAATTGCCAGCAGCCTCGTTGAAACCATACTGGTATGTGATATCGTGCATCAGGTTGGCAAGATAAAACAGATTGACGGCTGTTGCTTGTATGTTGTCTGCATCGTTAATATCAGTTGCAGGATTGAATTTACTGTCAAACACACCATTAATACCAGTTCCTGGAGTCGATGGAGTGTTTGCAGTGTTGACCGCCTCAGCGTTGTTGCCACGGGTAAGGGTTCCGTTTATCCATCCATTAGGCGACGATGGTTTGTATTCTGGATCTTTGATGTTGGAGAATCCATCATCAGGACTGAGACCAGGAATTGGAATAGCCTTGTATGTTGCATGATGACCAAAATCAACAGCCTGGACCAGTTTGCCTAATATCAATCCATTTACATTCAGATTAGTGTTGATTCCATAAAAATCAATATCTGAACCTGAAATACCGTACCAGTGTTGGCATCGGCCCAAACTTGGAACCAGAAATTAACATCCTCGTCGCGAAGCTGGAATTTGTAAGCATATGCAAGCGTGCCATCAGCCTGTTGGACATACTCGAGCTCATGTTTAGAACCAGAGTAAACTGGCAAGCCCTTGGCCTTGGACACAATATCAGCAACCTGTTCAAACGTCAGTTTGGTTTTGGGTTCCGCAATTGAAAGCTCACTTTTGGCAAAATGGCTTTCAGTACCAAACGAAGTAGAGTACGACGTAATTTGACCGTCTTTGATATGGACAGCAGCTTGGTGATTGGCTACACGTGCACCATTGATAATGTGAGCACCATATACATGAGTCACGCCAACACTGTCCGTAAAGTTATTGTAAACCTTGAACTCGTTAGGTGTGAGATTGAGTTGGTCACAGAGATATGCAACACCAATCTTGACCGAGTCAGTATTGGACAGAGCCATAAGACTGGATGAGTGATCATAGGGAATATTGTGATAGGTGGATTTTGGAAAATAGAATAAAGAGCTGTCCATGGCATTTTCTGCAGACAAAACAGTCGGAGCCGCAAAGATTGCGGATGTGGCAAGAGCAAGAACCAGAGAAACGGTAGAAACAAACATTTGAACAATGGTTTGAATATCTAGTGTATATGTGGCAAGTACAAAACTAAACTATTACAACAATATGGGACGATGGAGTTGGCTGCATTGCATGGTTTATATTTTGAATTGACACTGTAGTGTCGAATTGACTAAAACGTGCATGTGATGTGATGCATTAACACACGAGTATCAAGCGCATGTGTTAATATATCACATATCCAAACGATGCATGTGAAGCGGGTCCATTACTGCGTTGATTTTGATTAAGATGATTGCGTGAATGTGGGTTCAAGAAATATATACTATACAGTGTAGGATGAATACCCGTTGATATCCAGTCATTTACAAGCTAGGAATTTAATTTGAATCTAAGCCATGCTTACCATGTGCAATTCATGTGTGTTGTAAACTTGCGAATATCGCTTCAACTCGTTTCAATTCACTTCAACTCGATTTAGATTGATTTAGATTGGTTAAACTACTATGCAGCTTTTTAGCTAGCTTGTGCCATGTTGTCAGATTGTGATGCTTGGCATAGCATAAAAGTATATCACACTACAGACAGATTCGGGATGTATCGGCTGTATTGGCTGTATGCATGTTCTGCATATGTTCAGACGAGACTCGAGTATGATCGACTCCGAGTACTCAAAAATGGATACATGATCAGTAGTGCCAATGACTTGAACTGATAGCGTGCATGCTGATGACCAATATCAATCATGCTATGATACTGTTTGTAATCTGAATGGTTTCATATGTATCGACACCAACACAACCACATGATATAGCAACATACTCGACATGTGGCAAATGGTACAAATGGCACAAATGGAGTAATCGGAGTAATTGGCAGTATAGTTTGTTCATTCAATATTGGAATCATTAGGTTGGGTTAATAAGCAAAGTAGGAGATGACAAAAGGCGTGCTAATTGGCTGTAATCATACAGTCGATTGGTAGATCGGATAAATAAATGATTGATTTTAGGCAATGAAATAATACGGGAAATAAGGGATTATTCAAGCAAATGAGTTTGAGATTACAAAAATAATACATCAAAGCATTAAACTGATGTAGTAATGGTTTTACTCTATAACTGAAAACAATGGAAAATAGTTTTTGGTTGTACAAAAACTCGTCATGTTTTGGAAACATTCTGATAGTATCAAGTAGGCTGCGGGTGATCAAGTCGTTCAGCAAACTGACTATCAGATGGTCGCCATATTACAGGAAATGCAATCAATGAATGACCCATCATTCAAATCAACAATCTACCGATATTTTCAAAAAACAACAGCATCAAGGGTAATAGTTGCCGACACTCGTTTATCTTCAATTTCATATCCATTTTCGCTAGCTGTGAAACACGATTTAAAATATCGAAATAGCGATAACATGCATATTTATCAAGTCAGGAATATGCTGTTGAATCGATAGTTTTCAGGCTACAAAACTTACTTTTTACACTTGATAACAGAACAATGAGCTTGCTTAAATTGATAAAAACGATTCAATTGTAAAAAGTTTCAAGGTTGCTTTACTCAACTTGCAGCGACTTTTCTAAACAAAACTTCAAGAACTGAATTTTGTTTTACATTTTAACGTGCTTGTTGGAAATGCTGTCTTGATATTCAAGCTTATTTTTACATCAAGGATTGATAGACTTGGAGCGACTGTTATTACCAACAAAACCATGTATCCACTGAGATTCAAGTCGTTGATTATTCCTTCGAAACTATCCCACGTTTGTTTTATTCAAGTCACTCGAGCTCATTTTAACGGACGTCAGTTATTATCTAGTATAAATCTACTGCCATGGTTTATTCAGCATAGAATCTATGACTATGCAGGAATGTTGACCAGATACTTGCATAGGAAGCTAAGCTTCCCTATTAGCTTGCATACGTTGAGGTTGATAATGGCAGATTGTTTTCTTCAAGACAATGTGCGTCAGGCAGCTGTTATGCAGCAGTTGTTCCATGGTCACTGGCTGTTGTGGGAGTCGCTCTTTATCCATACTACAGCAATGGCGGAGATAGCATTGGCTATCAACCCCTTTCGCACAGGCATGCAGACTAGGTTTTCAGTGTCTACTACACCCGACACTGTACTGCTGCCTCTAGTCTCTTTAGTTTCTCACTTGCAGCCAGAAGCCATTCCTATTGCCAATCATCTATTGGATTACATTCTTGCAAACTATCATCCACAGCCTCATTGTGTTAAATTCTGTTATGCCAAGCTCTCGATCATGGCCGGATTGGGTAGACTACAGCCACTAATAGCGTTGATAGGAGATTGCAAATGTCCATTAACTATCAAAATATTTGGAAGAGCATGTTATATGGCTGCAATCAATGGTCATTTGAATGTTGTCGAGTATTTGTTGCATTTGAATTCAACTTATTTTACTATGGCTACTCCCATCTCTGAATCGAGTATACTGCCAGTGCCATTTATTGATCAGGGATCAGCAACAGCGTTGGATTTATCCACTCATAAAACTCTAATTCAGCCGCCACAAATCCATTCAGCCATGTACATGTCAGACCAGGCATTTCAAGGTGCGATTTCTGGTGGGCACATTGAATTAGTCAATGTGCTTCTTTTGAAATATCCCGACTATAATCTTAGACCAACAAAGCGATCCATATCAGAGGCTGTATATCGCAATCACACCAACGTCATTTACTATTTACTGGAGCCACGTTTTGGCTTTTCAAAATTGAGCGGATTTGATAGTCTGTTTGAGATTGCTGGAAAATATGGTTGCAATGAGCTTATGGACTATGCTCAAAAACATCAGATTGGGATGGGCATGTACAGTCTTGATTCAGCAGGTCAATTGACTACAAAAAAAACGATATTTTCAGCCAAGTGTGAATGCATCAAGGCCTTGCGTCACTTGTATGCTCGGAATGGACACACTGCAGGGATCTTGCAAATGAAGGGAGGAAAACACTTATTGGACAAGTCAGTATTGACGGTTGCTGCAGAACACGGGCAGTTGGATACTATTCATACCATTCTGTGGTACTGGGCACATCATCGACCATCTTTGGGAGTTTATTCTAGTTTAGATGCAGTCCTTGCTGCCATCAAATCTCGACATGTTGGGGTTGTCATGGTTTTGGCGTCTGTCAAGATTGGCTTACAAAAGGCGGATCTTGTTCGTGCGCTGGATTACTCGCTCGAGCAATGCGATTTTGGAATTGTTACCTATCTTACAGCGACTATTGCAAGTGGCAGATATTGTGAGCATGCCAGTACTATTGCTCGTAAAAATGGTCATGATGATCTAGCAGACCATTTGGAATCCATGGTTGAGCTTTATTGGTGGTAATACGTTATTCCGAGTAGATACACCAAGATTGGTTTTTATTTACAAAAGCCTGTGCAATCCTATAATGCAATTTAAAATGCTGCATTACTCCACTGCGCTGATTGAATGTATATCATCTGTCGAGTTTCGCACCAATAAAAGTCGATATATTCTTCTAAAGCAAGATTTATTAAAAATAGTTAACGCTCAGCCAAACTGGCAGTTGCAGTATTATCATCAGACATTGGTTCAGTATCCTCAAACCGAACGGAAACACCCATTTCGGCCAATTCAGCAACAGCCTGTGCATTGATTTCCAAATTGCTGGCGTCATCACGATCGTCTTCATCTTCGTCTGGATTGAAGCTTTTCAACAATAAATCCATCACATCGATATGATCAGCCTGGGCAGCAACAGTTATAGGGCTTTTTCCAGCTGTGTTTTTGAGTGTAGCACTAGCACCGCATTCCAGCAATCGCTTAACGATATCAATGTGACCATTTAATGCAGCCCAGTGCAAAGAAGTAGAACCCTCGTCGTTAGTCATGTCAATATCGCAAGGTCCAGCCATATCGGTTGTAAGAAAAGTGACGACATTTAAATGACCATTGGCAGAAGCCATATGCAAAGCGGTATTGTTTCCAAAAGTGGAGCGAGCATGACAGAGAAACTTTGTGGAAAGTAAATGTGACTGTTGTATTGATTGCAAGTCTTCTAAATCTCCGAATCTAGCAGCAGTAACAATATCCTGTATGACACTATCCGACACAGTGGGAGCTACTGTCATGGTTCCAGTCATTTTGGTCAACTTGATTTTTTGAATTCGACAAAATAAAATTTTAAATTGTCACGGGACATTGGATGAATGTAATTTTGTTGTAATTGTATTCAAGATTCACAATACAACTGAAATGAGTGTATTGACAATATTGACACAATACATGAATCCGAGTTCAAACTTGATGATTGTACAATGACTACCAAAAGAGGATTTCAGTTTGAATTTATAATCTGTGTACAATGAAAGAAGCAATACAATTGATTTCTAACAAGAAAGCAGAATGAACAATCAAATCACCAAAAAACAAACACTTGCACAAGCAATTGGTTTCTGTGAATACGGCTGTAATGAGTTGAATTTAGTCTGACAATTCAGTTGAATTTAGTCTGACAATTCAGTTGAATTTAGTCAACTAATCATTGCTGAAATGATTCGACATACGCTGATTGCTAGAGAACTTGGCGGTCTGCCATTGGTTGCGTCAATGGAAACAGACTCTGTATGGACCAATATGTACTATATGTTCAGTTTGTCTTAGTCTTGTACTGTTTGTAATGACATTTGTTCATGATCGGAACTGTCCATTTAACTCATCATTCTACCTTGATATCATTACAGCCAGATGACCCTATTACAGATGTCAAGAAACTGATCAAGCCGCTGCTTAAAATATTGTCTTGTTTTAATTCATCCAGTGGAAATGCATACTCTAGTGGTCATGTTCCAAATGGAAAAAGGTCGTCGCTCGTTGTGTCGTTACTAGGCGCTAGTTCTTCAGAATTAATGTTGCAAAAACTCCCACTAGAATGCAGTCTCGACGCAGATCCTTTTGTATTTCAGTTGAGTCCATTACAGGCTTTTAGTCTATATCAACCCATTCTATCCTACCACTGCTATTCTTAGTGTATGCTTCCCTTGCTGGTCAATCCATATTCGTCTAATCTTTCCAGACAGCATCCAACATACTGACTGATACGAGTGCGATTTTTGTTTGATATTATCCAGCTATCTTGTTGATAACGGTGTCATTTTTATGTGTATTGTCGAAAATACAATGCCTCGTTTGCTTGCATTCAGCTATCTGCTTGAACTTGTGCATGAGTTTATCGAAAATACCAAAAACAACGAAAAACAATGGCGTGAAGCCTCACGACCTTATTCACTTATTCGCCTAGGTACTTTTTACTGCAGATCTTGCCAAAGATTGCCTATAAATATTGATTGTGTGTACTGTATGTGTAGAGCCCATTATACAGTCTATTAAAGCACGATACCGTAATCCAAGAGCACTGCAAAGTAGAACGGATCTGGTAGATTTGTCAATGCGTGTTCGAGCCATCCCAACAATCAGCACGGCTAATCTTTTTCCTACTGAATTTGCAGGTGCATGATGATTTGGTTTCACTGAAATTATTATAAATACGTCTTCATTTATCTATCCATATATTTAACAGCTATTTGATCTTTTGCCTTTGTAGCTGCATCTCGAATGACTCTTCAACGAGTTGCTGGAAATGTATCCAATGCAGCAGAACAATTTTCAACCGGCCACGGATACTCTGAAAACACTCGGTCGTGGCGTACTCGATATCTTGTCACTATTACTCTGTTGATCTTTTTCGTCGACTTGATTTATGGTCTCGGTAGCTCATTGAGCCTGTTGAAGATTATACGCCACAGACGACATCCGGTATGTGGTATTTAAAATGCATGCTGCTGGATTTGGTGTGTTAGTTTCTTATGGGCCGTTTTTAAATAGATTGAAGAGGGAGTCAAGTTTGTATATGCGCACTTTTTCATGTTGATTATTTTTGCATTATGTCCAGTTCTTACTTATCAGGTATGACTTTGATCCATGATTGCATATTCTGGTTTAGCATTATGATTGTCTGACCATTGCTATATACTCTGTTTAAACACTACATGTACAAGATGAGGAAATTCCAACAACGACAGAAACTCGCACCATTGGCCATACGAATCACTCTAGCTCACGCATTTGTGACGTTTTTTCAGATCCTGCATACTCTTCTTATCCCAAACGACTTGCCAGAATGGCACAATTCTGCCGATCACTCAAACATGTCACCACTTCAACAAGCAGCTGTATTTTTTAGCACATTTAGCATTCCTGCTCCATTGGTATTTACCAAGGTGATCTACTTGATTACTGTGTGGTTAGTAGTTGGCTCAGGTGTGAGAACCACATCTATGAAATATGACAAATTGGATCATTTAGAATGAATGCTATTTTTATATTTTAAAATGACTTTCAGCTGGTTGTAGGTCGTGATATATAAATCAAGATCAGTGATTTTATACATTGAGCAGTTTATAAGCTTTCTGTATTTTGTGCATTAACAAGTATTGAACAAAATTGACATTTTTATTTCTGGTTGAGCTGAACTGGATACACCAGATGCAATCAATATGTATTGCCAATCGTGTATTGATTTTGATAAACAGGATATCGGTTTATTGTGATTGAATCACAGATTATTGAAAAGCAAATCAGCATTGCAAAAATGGCTCATGATTCCAATGCTTGAAATGTATCGATTTAAACTATACTGTTGGCTCTGTTCCAGTGTGTGTCAATCTATGATCATGTCTAACAATGCAATCGGTTGCATGTTTGACGCATTTGGTTTCGATATAAGCTATTCACTTGTTGTATCAATTGAGCTGTTGAACATTGCATTGGTGATACTTGTCAATCAAAATCAGAATGATTCAAACGTAGCGTCAACATTGCCAACATCACACCACAACAATACTGTCAACTTTCGAGTCCTGTGATCCACCGTTTCAATTATAACCGGATCGAGGCTGATCACTTGTCAATACACGAACCAGTTGTCTGATCGTACAACTGTTGGTTAATCAATGTTTGACTGTCGATGCTTGAATATTGACCAACATACACAACACCGATATCCAATACATCACACATGAATACACTGCATATATGCGGTAGCAATGACCAATCCAAACAAACAGTGACAGAGTTACTCATCAACATATACTCGATTATCAGTCGAGTCTGCATATATCAACCAGTTGCAACACGTCATAATCAATGTGGATTGTATTGTTCACCAATCGATCATGACAGCTAATCAATACCAATCATGTAGTCAATACAATCACCAACATATCAATGGTTGTTGACTTGTGGTTACAATTCGTCAATTACATCTAATGCTACAGGTGATGCACATCTGATTACTGCAAATCAACAACTTTTCAATCATATCATAGTGTGTATTGCCAACAGACTATGCAATTACAAATCAATGTATACGTGATCAACATTTGATATTTGATGGTGATGAGCCAACCATGATTGATTGTATCATACAACTAATACAGTTGCATTGTCTGATATTGATGATTGGCTCAGTCATGTCAAACAGTAACTAATGTGTGTATATCAAGTTTGTGTTGCATGGACACATCAATGTGTTTGATAACGAGCTCAACGTGATGATACAAACCCAATATTATATGAATATCCAAGTTGATGAATCAAGTCGAGGTTTGCAAAGTGTCGATATGTCAGGTCAATCAAACGAACCAGTCAACCATTATATTGTGACTAGTGATGACACGGTTTGAATGTCAACGAGTTGGACAGTCGATAATATGGATGATTGTGATTTGGTCAAACCGCAGCACTTGCATATCACTGAGTCGGTTTGGTGTATTTGATGTAAGCAATATGCATAAACTCGTTGATATCATGCACTATAACCAATATACACCACACATATACAGTGGTAAACATCAACGTGTGATGTATTCAGTGATCGTATACTGGTCGATTGATGCAATATGATCATGCCACATACTATTGTATTGGTGACAATGTGTTGTTGAACAGGCGAGATTTCGAGTGTTTGCAACATAATTGGTGTGAATGGACAATATTGCTTGTGTACCATCATGCAATGATATCACCTGGAATATATTGTGTAGCGGCATCATAGTGCGGCAAATATACTCTGATCGTTGATCTTGATATCGGGTACCAGATCAAGCAACGGACGGTTGTGTAAAGGGAGATCTCTTTAAAGCTACCTTGACATTGATAACAGCAAATCATCACTAACCCTGGCAATAAATGCAATAAATGAAATAAAGCCAATACGCTGAAGCGGCCATTCAAGGAACATGCTTTTGATATTATCCGCCAATAATGGATATAAATACGACACCAAATCGACGTGTTGAATGACATTCATTACAACTTGCTCAACCAAACCAGTAAAATGAAATTTTCAATTGCCGTACTGTCATCGATACTTGCTGTATGCTCAGTCACGATCGCCAATCCAGTCGATCCGAGTTCGACCATGAGTGCAGAGGTCAGCACTCCGACAGCCTCTACAAGTGGGGGTTCAGTTGGTCAAGTTCTTTATCCGGTTCCTCCTCACCCACTTGATCTTGAAAGATATTGTGGACCATTCGATCTTGTTGAAGCGTCGTTGATCAAAAGAATTGCAGAACTTCAAGTTAAGTTCGATCAAGGGATTGTCGATCTTACTAAAAAATGTCGCCAGCGTGATGCTCAAAAAAAACTACTTGAGGGAATGGAGCAGCAGTTTGAGACTCTGAGTCAAACTCCGGACGATGGGTTGGATACTGTCGAGTTTGAGCTTGAAACAGAGCGTGAAGTTCTTGATAAGCTTAAAAAAGAAGTGGAGAAAATCTCCGATGAAACTTCAAATATGATTGACGAAAGGATGGATCTCAAAGAAGTACTTCGAAATTACTTAGGTATGATACCATCAGGGGAAGGTAATATTCCAGAACTGAGAAAGTATCCCGGATATAAGAAATGCTTCAAGTTCTTCTACGATCGTTATTGGCTGTCACTGTCATAATCTGGATATGATGCAGCTTTTCAAGATTCTGGTGTTCAGCAACAAACTCTTCAATCAGACTCGTCACATTGCTGCAGTTCAAAGTGGGTTATCAACAGTCTCATCTAGGATATGTTGTAATGCAGCGTGTATTGCATGTTGGTTTACTTTTGATTTGCCATGCATCCAATGTCGTTCATTCAATAAACACCTTTTATTGCCAAACCATGTGTATTAGACTAATGACTTGATCATATTGCACCAATCAACTACCATGTATTGTATTGATCACTGCAGTGTCATTGCTGAATCCATGCAATTGTGTATATTGACATTTTGGGTTACCAATCAACACATTAAATTTGACACCAACCCATTGGTATCACTGGACTATTTGATTCAGGTGATTCAGGTGATACGAATGATTCGGCTGGTTTTGACAACTTGACAATCTGAGTATCCACAAATACATGTTTAATGTTTGCACATACTTTTTGCACATATTCCATTGACATGCTACAAACTGACATTGAACGTCACATTACATTGTTTTGGTCTTGAATGATACGATATGCATCAGCCGATGTTTCGTATTCACTACAACATCCACATCCAGTATATACAACAAATCTGTCCATAATTCAACATATCAGCCATATTTGATTTGACAGTCACTTGTCACATTGTTGTGTACTTGCAATGATCAGTATCAATCATTTGCATGTAGTCCACTGTCTAGTATAATGTATGCAGTATGATCACATAACATGTCATCTGGTGATATAGCATACACCACAACCACAACCGGAAACATCGATCGTCGATTGTCGTCCCAATCAATATAACAGTTGCATCAAACAAATCCACAAATGCACAACTCGGCAAGTGTAATGCATACAACTACAACATGTGTATACGAATACCGAGTGTGTCCAACTATAAGCTATGTATATTGAAACCATTGGATAGTATGTCCGACACGTCATTGACATTGATAGTCAATTAGTATTGTGAATGGCCCTATGCATGCAACATGGTTGATATGTTGGTGTTGGCTGTATCAATGGGACTATAACCAATATACACCACACATATACAGTGGTAAACATCAACGTGTGATGTATCCAGTGATCGTATACTGGTCGATTGATGCAATATGATCATGCCACATACTATTGTATTGGTGACAATGTGTTGTTGAACAGGCGAGATTTCGAGTGTTTGCAACATAATTGGTGTGAATGGACAATATTACTTGTGTGCCGTCATGTAATGATATCACCTGAAATGTGCTATGTAGCGGCATCATAGTGCGGCAAGTGTACTCTGATCGTTGATCTTGATATCGGGTACCAGATCAAGCAACGGACGGTTGTGTAAAGGGAGATCCCTTTAAAGTTACCTTGACATTGATAACAGCAAATCATCACTAACCCTGGCAATAAATGCAATAAATGAAATAAAGCCAATACGTTGGAGCGGCCATTCAAGGAACATGCTTTTGATATTATCCGCCAATAATGTGTATAAATACGACACCAAATCGACGTGTTGAATGACATTCATTACAACTTGCCTAACCAAACCAATACAATGAAATTTTCAATTGCCGTACTGTCATCGATACTTGCTGTATGCTCAGTCACGATCGCCAATCCAGTCGATCCGAGTTCGACCATGAGTGCAGAGGTCAGCACTCCAACAGCCTCTACAAGTGGGGGTTCAGCCGGTGGACCTGACTATCCAGAATTTCCTACACCAGAAGATCTTGAGAAATATTGCAGTCCATTCGGTATTTCTGAAGTATCGTTAATCGATAAAATCGCAAGAAATCAGGTTAAAATTAACGAAATCTTTGAAAAATCCAGCAGCAAAAGTCATGAGCGTGATCTTCAAAAAGGATTGGTCGATGAAATGAAGATTAGACTCGATACTCACAGTCAAGCTTCAAACGATGAGTCGGGTATTAATGAAGTCGAGCTCCAGGAGCAGGATAGAATTCTTAATGAGCTTGAAAAAGAAGTGAAGAAACTCTCCGATGAAGTTATGGTTTTGATTGAACAAAATATAGATTATAAGAAAACACTTCGAAAGTACTTGGGCTTGGTACCATCAGGGGAAGGCGAAGTTCCAGAACTGGGAGACTATCCTGGATATACGGAATGCTACAAGTATTTCCTTTCTGTTTTTTCGCAATAATTGCCATAATCCGAGTATGATGCAGCTTTTCAAGATTCTGGTGTTCAGCAACAAACTCTTCAATCAGACTCGTCACATTGCTGCAGTTCAAAGTGGATTATCAACAGTCTCATCTAGGATATGTTGCAATGCAGCGTGTATTGCATGTTGGTTTACTTTTGATTTGCCATGCATCCAATGTCGTTCATTCAATAAACACCTTTTATTGCCAAACCATGTGTATTAGACTAATGACTTGATCATACTACACCAATCAACTACCATGAATTGTATTGATCATTGCAGTGTCATTGCTGAATCCATGCAATTGTGTATATTGACATTTTGGGTTACCAATCAACACATTACATTTGACACCAACCCATTGGTATCACTGGACTATTCGACTCGGCTGGCTCATAGTTTGAAAGTATATCACAGTGAGTAAAAGATAGAAAAGGAATGAACCAATGTATGAATTGTCTATTTATTAATCCGAGATCGTATCTTTTATGAGGTGAGATAGTAGTGGAAGAACACTAAGATATGAGGGACATAGCTCAAACATCATTGTTGAGGATTCCTGGTTACTATAGATCTCCATCAGTGATGACTACGCTTATATACCAAACGTAGAATCACACAAGTATCCACACACAATGCAAGTCAACATACTGCACATCTCAACAATTCAAGTTCCATTACAAAGATCACACATTACCAGTGTCTAACACAACACACATTAGAAAGTTTAAATCTATTCAAAATATTGGAGTTTATTGACAATTTCAGTCCGAATCCGAATCTGAACTCAAATCAAAATCCGAATCCAAATCCGAATCCGAATCCAAATCCAAATCCAAATCAAAACCAAGACCCAATGTCAAGCCATGCTTCATCGCAAACTCTTGTAATTCTTTTTTAGTAGCCTTTGTTTTTTGTATTGCTTTTTGACACTCTTCTTCCAATCGCTTTTCAACGTTTGGATTGTGTTTTGTTCTAGATTTCCTTCGGCTATTTGCTGATTTCGATCCTTGTTTCAATCCTTCATTCATGCTATCGAAATAAAATTTGCACTTTTCCTCTTGTTTCTTTTCAAGCAATTCAACTTTTTCTTTTAGATCATCGAATTCTTGCCGAGTTTCTTCGTCTAGAGTTTCTTGATTGGAACCAGTGTTTTCTGGGTTATCATTTGGATTTTCCAAGCCTTGACCAAAAATGCTTGAACCGGCGTCACTGCCTAAACTAGATACGTTTTCCCATTCTTCTCCAGAAACGCCTGATGCTTGGCCGGAAGTACCAGCTACCTGATTGGAGGGCCCCGATGCTTGTGGTAAGCCATCTTCATCAGCTGGAAGCAGTGTTGCATTAGCGGTTGCTGCCGCAACCAGTATGAATAAAATGTCGATGAATTTCATTAGATTGATGAATGCTTCTAAACAATTGATGGAAAAGTAGAGTGCTGAAGCTGATGTTGATTATAAAACTGAACTCAATTGATTGTATTTATACTTTTTGTATAGCAACCCTAACCCTAACCCTTTTAGGTTAACCAACGACACAGGGCTATTTGATTTCTTGTGGTGAGCCAATATCAAACTAGACAGTGTGTTGCTCCCTGTCCACAATATCATATTGACCAATTTGATGTTCATGTCGATTGGGTTGTGTTTCTGACCCTTTTATCAGGTGTCTTGGAAAGCGCATCCTTTAAGGGTGTTGTGTAGCCTTGAAAATGCTCCCTTTTGCCACAGTATTTGCGTAAAATAACGGATTACTTGTATTCATTGTGCAGTGATTGTATTCTGCATTGCAATACACAATGGTTACATATCCGGTTGACTGGTATTACACATTGACTGTATTGCGTGTTCGATATACAACAACCATCATATGACACACAATCAAACTATAGTGTTGAATTTACACTTTGTGCACTTTTAGTAATCATACATTGTACGATCACCAAGTTTGAACCCACATTCATGTATTGTGTTTGATTGTCGATGTTGTCAATACAACTCTGTACACACATTTGTTGTATTCATCACCATCCAACCCAATATCACCATTTCAATCAATCTTGGTCAATGTTGATGATTTACACGCTAATTCATTATCCAATCTTGTCTGACATTATTATTGGCTTTAATCACGTTTGGTTTATACAACTGCCATGATTTGTACTACCATTATCATTGTGTATCTGAACACCAAATATTCCAATACATCAATAATACCACAGTGTAAACAGTAATACAGTTGATCAGTATTGTGGCAAGACTTTTCATTCAAGTTTGTATTTGGAAATACTCGATGGTTTAATCACAACACACTATTTGTAATGCGATTGTCATTGATATCATCTCATCACATTTGATTCCATCTGATTTATGATGATGTTTAGTAATCCATTACCATGTGTTGTAGTAAACTAGTTTGTTTATTGAACCAAATCCACAACGATCACACTCAGAATATTGATTTCCGCGTGGCTGTTGATTGTTTTGAATATCAAGGAGCATCTAATATGTATTGGAAAGATGTGTATGGTATTGATCGAGAATCACCACGCAGTCAGTATATAGGATCGCTTGAATTACCAAATGGTCGATGTGTAGTTTATCCCAATCGATACCAACACAAAGAACAATCATTTGAACTTGCAGATCCAACTCAACCAGGACATTGTAAGATTCTGACATTTTTTGTAGTGAATCCAGCCTGTCGGATTGTTTCGACTGCGCATGTGGCTCCACAACAATCACAATGGTACAACTCGAGTCTTGACAAGGCACACGTACCGCCTGGACTGTGGAATGATGCCACGCAGTATATTCAAGGTGTTCAATCACCAGCTAAAGCCAAACACTATCGAGATGAATTGACAAGTGACCGAACTCAAATCACAGCGGCATACAACAAATACAGATATGAGCGGGCGTATAGTGATTGGTGATTGTGAGGTTGTGATTTTACAACAATCAATTGGAATGCCAGTCATATCTATGCAATTAAATGGATCGAATAAATTGAATGAATTGAATCAATCATGTCAATCATGACAGTGACTGTTGATTATATTGACTGATTGTGTACAATTGATTGATACAAGTGATATGGATGCATCATTCGGTGTTGTTGAATCAGATCATTGCTTGATTCTGTCAATGTGATCAAATGGATTACTACAAAACTGGACATGCTCAAATTGAATCAAGTATTGAATCGAGTATTGGATTGATATTTACAAACAACCACAATTACAACCACAATTGCAATCAGCACAGTCTGAATATTAGACATTTGAACATCACATATAGAGTTGTGGATAAATGCGAGTTGGCATATTGGACTGTTTTTGTAGTTTATTAATGATTTGATTCACGACTGTTTGAATTCAAGGCTCAATATGGATTACAACTGGATTGTCGTTGTTTCCATTTGGAATGACAAATCTGTCAATGTGTTGATTGATTGCTAGTCCATTGTCCAATCCATTGACCAGTAATTGTCCAAACAAGTTGTATCCGAGTCGAGTTGTCAATCAGGATACCATAACCTGACATCCAAACGATTATTCAAACGATTGTTGAAACCATCAATGATTGCCAGAATAAGCTTTACGACTCGACTGCAATAACCACCACAATCATGGTCAGGTTAGTATGTTGATCCGTTTACAAAGTTACAATACTGCAACAGATTCAACATACTCTTGAAAGTGCTGCACACCACATGAATCCAGCAAACCCACTGATGAATTGAACCAATTAATTGACCAATGACATGACTCGATATTGGACATCGAGTTGCACACAGTTGGTAAAAAGTCACCGACATGTTCAGATAGTCAAACCTTGACTACAGGTTGATATCATCACCCAACACACCAAATACAACACACAATCTGGTCAATTACTGGATCATATTGTGGATATCAATCAACGAATCTACTGGTTGCAAACAATCATGTACAATCATGTACAGTTATTACAGGACAATATGATACATTTCTGAATAGCATGTTGTAATCAACACGAGTGGAGTTGTGCAATAGACTTGTCATGGTTTACAATGGTTTGCAATAGTTTGATATGAACATGATGACTCGGACTCTATTCAGTCGCATCAACTCGACTACAATTGGTCGTGTATATTATGATTGACACGAACAATTGTAGTTGAACTCGAATACAGATTGACTGTTGAATCACAATGCGTGGTATCAGCAACATGATGTGCTATATATTGGAATGTATACGCTAACCTGACATGTGCCATGTAGTGTGTATTCGATCAATATGAGTATTAGCAATCAGCAAGTCATACGATGTTTGTGTTCGAGTGATGGAGTGGAATGGAATGAAATGAGTGCATCAATCCAGAATACGAGTCAACCATGACATATGATCATGATGTGTGGTTGATACAACTATATAGTAACACACAACATGAAATGTCAACACAACAGTTGCAAGTCATTGATCATCAATGTGACATTGTGGTTGCAACATGAACTACATTGTATTGATTCAGTTGATTGATTGAATCCACTGATAAACAACTAATAACTGAATGTCAGCTCAGTTACATACAGGTTTACATGGCATGCATTGATTTCTTAGGCTGCGGTTCACTGACCCTTTTCAGAGTGAATAAGGGTGGGAAACTACACAATCGATCAATCAATCGTACGATATTTGAATACATAGCCAAACAGCGGTTCAGTAAAAGCTGCTGATCGCCATATAAAGGGATATCCCTTTTGAATCGCTTTGACATTGATAGTAAATCAACATCGACCCTGACAATAAACCTGATTCTTTGGAACGGCCATCCAAAAAGTATGCTTTTAATACTATTCACTCAGCTGATATAAATACAATTTAGACCCGACCTGTTGAATGACAATCATCTGCAACTCGATCAAACCAGTAAAATGAAACTACCAATCGCTGCATTGTCATCAATTCTGCTTGTTTGTTCAGTCACTATCGCCAATCCAGTTGTTCCCAGTACGACTGCAAGTACAGAACATGTCTCATCGACAGCTGCTCCCAGTTCGACTACAAGTACCGAGTCTAACCCATCTGCAACTCCTAATACAAACGGTTTAGACTTGAGCCGTCATGATTCACTTTCAGCTAACATGAAGAATCTGCTTGAAAGCTACTCAAAAGGACAACAGGACTGTAGTAGACAAGAAGAAGAATGCAAATTTATAAATCTTAAAGTTGAGGATCAAGAGAGCCTGATAAGCCATTTCAGGAAAAAGATTGACGATTTGCAACGTAAATTCTACAAAAATGGTCGCGACAATTCAAAATATAAGAATGAGATGGAACAGCTTAAGCGTGAGCTTCGGGACGGATATTCCGAATATACCAAACTTGAAAATATGTACAAAGACTGCATATTCAAGCATATTCATTCTACTCGACAACTGGAACTCGTCAAAGTAAATCTTGTGAAATCCGTTTTTGGAGCATCTTTCAATCTTGAATTACTCGAGGAGCAACTTTTGCTTATCCTCTCACAGTATTCCGTTAAACAATACCTCGAGAGAATATGTAGTGGTGAACAATCATCAGCATGCAGAAACGATTTTGGTCAAGATCCTGATGCTGAACAACAACAACAAGATCCTGATGCTGGACAAGAAAGCTAAGGTTTGCAACCATCACCAGCAATACCATCTGTATCTCGTTCCATCAGACATACAGTTTCTTTCAGATTTGGTAGTGGAATTAGATCGCTTATCAGGCAAATCAGACGTATTAATTCATACAACTGATTTGAATGCTAGTGTGGTCTGGTCCCAACCCATTCGATTGTCATTCTATAACTGCATTTCTGATTTAGCTTACAATAAAACTGAATTTACATGCATTGTATCTGATTATTCTACAGTCTTGGTCAGCATGTTATTGTACCTTGACACTTGTATATTTCCAATACAATACAGCACATTGTATATTGCATATTTGTACACATTTATGTCAATAAACTACCCATTCAGATCTGGATCAATATAAAACTTGTGACAGCCATGACCCAACTCGGTACAAAACAGGTCAACTCCAACACATTCCACTATGGTTATGGTCACATTCCACCATGCTGATGTATGTCGATCGGTATCACATTGCAACCAGCTGTCATCCAATGACTGCAATGCAATACCGTGCATGTATTGTGACTGATACGTTGTGCACCATCAGCCAGTGTGCAACTGTCACTCGATATATCGAGTCTGATATGCAACAATATGCTGTGTTTACCATGATCAGGTTTTTAATCAATCTCTGACTCATGATACATGATTTGACATGTTGGATCGTGTGGATGTGTCATGGACTGCAATTTAGTTGCAGACACACATATGTTTGACATTGACTGATGCATAATGTGCAACGACTGATCAGTGCGTGTGTGATTGCACACTTGGTGGTATTGTGCATTATAGTTGTTTGACAATGGATGAATGCTGGATTAGTCGGTTATATTCAATCCATTTGAATCGATCTATTTAGACGATCACTCGATGTAGCTGACAACAATGGGTTGTCAGTCATGTGGTGCTGATATTTGAGTCGGAGTGATTGATTGCAGAATATTAGCTGTTCGATTGGTCAATCAATCGAGTTTGTGCTGGTAGCGTACCATTGATAACACAGTTCTGGCACCATCATCAAGACCACCATACAACAGTTGACCAATAAACTTGTAAAATCACCAGAATATGTTTGTATGAATATGGCCTGCTTACATGAAATCATATCGTATTCAATACTCGAGTTTATTTTAAAATTCATTCAAAAAATGAGTACCAAAATAATATAATCGTGTCCAATCACCATGTATTCATGAGTGATAGCCTGTTAAAAAACTGTCAGTTATTGATTGCGATCTGGAACATCAATACTGGTGAATATCACAGTATGTGTTTCTAAACCTGCACAAGTTACCATATTCACGCTTTATATGCTGATTAATCAGGTTCAACAGTTTGGATCGTTACTATACAAAGCCATTCGACTCAAAACAACCGTTTGTGATTAAATACATTCAAAGTCATGTTATACAATATCAATCAAATATCATTGTAAAGTGGGTCTATTTATTCCAAAATTCAAGTTTAAGCTAGTTGGTGCGACCTGAACAGACTCTAGAACGGATGCTGACACGCAAATATAGCCAAAGCATTTATTCACGAACGCAGTGTCCAACTGTCTGACCATTTGACCTTTCGCATCTTTGTCCTATGGGGCAATATCCGTTATTTCTGCAAGGACGTGCACCAGTAAATGGGCTAGGAGCAGCAGTGACAGATACGACAAGAGCAGCGATGAGTGCGATGACAGTGAATTGCATGGTCGGTTGATATATTGGATTGGATTGAAATGTAGTGGAGTGGAGTAGATTGGAGTATAATAGACTGAGACGATGGTGTTTGATGGATCCAAGATTCGGGTAAAACCTGGCTTTTTATATTGCAGATTTTCCCGAAACAATCTTGAAAGTCGTACTTGATGTGATCACATAACTTTGCATGTAGATAAGGGATGCTCACAGCCAAGGGAGACTGGATTAAACTAGTATAAAGCCCAATAAACTATATTTGGCCACCCATTTCAAAATCAAATAAAGCACACATGTATTTAGGTACTATTTAGCAGTGCATTCAAACACCAAATTGCAGAGCGGCCTGATTGTCAGCATAGACTATGCAAACAAAAACACTCAGGGCTAAAAGGGTGCTTTCGACTTTAGTGGCCAGGGTTTCAGGGTGTCAGGGTGTCCAAATGTCCGAATGTCAGCATGTCAGGGTCAAGTATTCATTGCTCAAATATCTGTTTTGCTTGTTCAATACAGCTCAATCACAACCCTGACCCTGATCCATTTAAGCGTGGTAATATGTTGTAAAAGCATATTGGAATTGGCAATCAAGTACTCGAGAGTACAATCCAGCAAGAGCATCGACACAAACATGGTCGATCACTGTGGTACTGTGCAATTGGAATTCACAAAAAGCTTCCAAAGCGACGGTAAATTTACACTAGACTCTGGAACCACAAGTTGCATGGTTTGCTGTAAACAATGGCTTACAAACTAAACTATACCACAATTCAAGAGTAGTCATCAAGCACAGACGAGTACAGTGCAAGGTGTTGGCACAGTCGATCTGACTTGCAACATCAAATGTATGGAGCAAATAGTTGCATTACCAATGTCATATTCATACCTACATGCTCAGCAATCTCGTTTCCAAAAACACGATGCTTGACAAGGCTGTAATATTTTGGTCTTCAAAAAAAGGAAAATATATACCAATACAAAAAGTGTACCGCTGATGACTGCATTTCAAGCAAATGGCTCGACATGGCTGATTTCAGGGTGTTGTCCAGACAAACAACTTTCAATAAACATCAATCACCATGCATCAAGTTTGGAATGTCGAGTGTCAGTGGATATAGACACACAGTACAAGAGATTGGCCATATTACCAAAAAGCATCAGAGCGCTTCAAAAGAGTCATGACTTGACGTTGCAACAAATACCGAGCATGAAAAACGCAGCATGTCATGCACCAAAAGAAAGTCGACGAAACTCCCATTCACTGAAAAGTCAAATCATTGGTAAATACAAACCAACGTACTCCCGCATATGGACTTGTCAGGTTTCTTGTCCGTTAATCAGCAGGTCAATCAAAGTGCTGTTATATCATTGTATATGATTTATGAAATATGCACATGTGTGTATGCTACACTCCAAACATCAAGTGTTGGACGAGTTCAAGGAACATGTCGTGCTGGTTGACAATCAAACTGAATTACCAGTCCGGATGATGTGCACCGACAATGGAGTGGAGCTCAGGTTTCTGCTATTCGACCAGTACCTGGAGGGAACAGGGATCAAGAGGCTGCCAACACCCTACACATACTGGTAAAATGGTGTTACTGAGTGCAAAACTGACCCCGATCATGGATGCGATAAGGTCCATACTAGTTGAAGCCAAGATCATAAAGTTATGGCAGTAACAGTGATGACGGTAGTATACTTGCAAAATAGGTCGCACA